GTAGGAATTCTTTTTCTTTCAATATAGATTTATTCAGCGACCATCTTAGTTTTTTCCTGGTTCCTTTCCAGGACATTTTAATTGGATTGTGGTCTGCCCAAATATTAGGTTCTATTTCAACCTCTTGTATTATAGACTTCAAATCATAAGATGTCCATATCATGTCTATTCTTGACCAGGATTTATGCCTATTTGAATAGAATGTATATTGTGGTCTTTCTGGGTTCATCTCTCTCCATATATCTTGTATAAGCAGTTCATCTTTCATTTTTAAAAAGGCCTTAGGTAGGGTATTTCCCCCTTTTTTCCCTTTTTTGTAGCTTTTATAGTCCCGTGTTGCATCAGCTATTAAAATCTCCGTTAAAATCTCCCAATATACAAAGGTTTTGGTGGTTTAAGTCCACTAGTTTATTATGTAGTTGCTGGTAAAACTGATCTTGCTTCTCGTTGGGTGCGTATATTGCAACCATCAATATTTATTTTTGATTTGACATAATTTCCACCATTAGTATTCTCCCCTCTTCATCAGCATAAACTTGTTTTGGATTCATCTTTTCTTTTATATAAAAAGCTATACCTCTTTTCTTTTGAAGTGCCAAGGAGAAGTAAAGTTTACCCATTTTCGGTTGTTCTAAAAGTCTAAAATGTTGTCTCTTAATATGTGTCTCTTGGAGGCAAATTATGTCCATTTTCAATTTTTGTAGCCTAGTAAAGGTTTTTCTCCTTTTTGAGGGAGAGTTCAGACCATTTATATTTATTGAAAGAATTCCAACCTCCTCCATGGTTTCAGTTATATCTAGACCTCAGTTTTCTAGGAGAGCTTATCTGCCCCTGGTCTTTCGGTCCTGCGTCTTCCTCTGATTGGGTCTTTTTGGGTTCTTCCTCCTTGGCTTGTTTAGACACTCCTGCAACAGTCATTTCCTCTTGTTTCTTGGATTCAGAGTCGCCTTTTTCCAGAAAAGCTCTATGGTTGTTAAAAAATTCCGCTGCTTTAAGTGGAGTATCCAATCTATATCTTTTCGAGTCCCAGAAGATTAATAATCCTTCTGGGACCAACCATCTGAAGTTCACTCCTTTATCAAACAGTTTCCTTGTTAGGAATTGGTATTCTCTTTAGGCTTCTCTTATTCTTCTAGGAATTTGCTTAAGAACTACTAGCTCTTTTTCTTTGTATTTCAGTGGATGATCTCTTATTGCTCTCAGAATCGCATCTCATGTAGATCTTTTGAGAAATCTTACATGGACTTCCCTGGGAACTCTGTTTCTTCTAGCATAGCTTAAGTTAACTCTAAAGACCTGGTCTATTTCTCGATTCATTTGGGTCTTTTCCATTCCAAGTAGCTCTGCAAGTAACTCACTCATCAAGTCTAACAAATTCTCATCCTTCTCTTCTATTACATTTTGAAAACTTAAAAAATATGATGCTCTTTCCATCTCCACCATGGCCAAATGTCTTCCAATTCCGCATTAGATTGCGCCAATCTCTGATTCTCATCTTGCAAGAATTCTAATTTCTGATCAACTTCTACTGACTTATCTTCTATTTTTTGAATTCTTTGTTGATTATCTGTAATCGCCTGTTGAAAGGTTTCCATTTTTTTATTCATTTTAATGAGATCATTTTTCAGGTCTTCATAATTTTTATCCATGTCCTTTTTCAGGTCTTCAATGTTTTTAGTCGAAAATACCGTCTGAGCTGCAATTGCTTGTAGTATCGCCTGGGTATCCTTTTGTTGAGATTCCACTTTTTCTTGTAAGAATGTAGTAATTGATTTTTGAGGAACTGGGCTTGCTGAGGTCGAAGCAGGGGCAGAGGCACCCTTTCTCCCCCCTTTAGCCAAATTTGAAGTACTCATCTTCCAATTGTTGTGTTATATCATAATCCACCAGGTGGCCTGATGGCCAATTATAATCCAAGACACTCTTATTTCTAGGAGAGGGAACCAGATGTGGTTCAAAAGGAAAAAAGTAATTCCAGTAGGGGGTAAAAGGGAACCCCAAAAACATCCCCCAAAAGGGGGCAAACCAGCAAGGGGAAAAACTGAGTTAGTAATTAAAAAAAAGCTAAGAAGAGGGAGAAGAGACTCCCACAAAAAAATATCCAAAAAACAAGGGAGAGTCCAAACAGAAAAAGGAGAAATAATAATAATAATTAAAAAAAAGAAAATAAGGAAAAAGTGAAAAAGTGGCGGTGAACAAAAAAAGAAAAGAAAAACAAACTGTAAAGGAGGATATCCAATTTATGGTCCAGAAAATTCTATTCAGGAACAGGGAAGAGAGCAAAAAAAAAACCAGAATTCCTTAATATTCAATTCTTCTTGGGGTAAATCTATATTGTACATCCAGAGCCAAGCAAAAGAGAACAAATCAAAGAGAGAGAAAAAGTCTCTTTAAGTAAGTCAAAGTCAGATAGGAATGTCTAGGCATTCAGCCAACTGTCTGGGCATTGAGCCAAGTTCCCAGACTGAATAAACAACAGCTGCTGAAGAACAAAGGGGGAGAAAAACTTTCAGTGTAGCCACAGGAGAAACAATGTATCTTTCCCAGGCGTTTAAACAGGAAGAAGAAAAAAAACTGTTAAAAGTGGAGAAAAAGTTTCTGAGGTTTTAGTGAGGGAATATAACTAAAATGGCTTTCCCCAGTAAAAATATTTTTTAAAAAAAAGAAAGTAAGCTTCCCAAGTTTCATTAATGCGTGAAAAAAAAACTTTAATGTAGTCCAAATTAGTTTTTTCCTTTGTAGTGCGGTGTAGCTTAAACCGCTGCTTGTGCAGGAGGGGGAAAAAGAAAAAACTCCTCCCTTCAGGCTTCAGGCTCTGGTTAAAGACAGGCTATTTCAGATAAAATCCACCTTCCAGATAAAAGAAGAACATATTCTCACCCGGCTCGGCTGCTTGCTATCAAACTCAGCTGTTTTTTTGTCTCCAATGATCAGGTGTTAACGGTGGATCGCATAAATGTGGTCCACCTTTCTTCCATTGATTCCAGAGGCTGCTTTGACTTCAGCGGGTCAGCTACCGCTGGCCAGCATTCCTCAAAGATTCACCCTTCAGTGGCCACCTCTCCAAGGTGGCGTTCGGCCTAAACAGACCCACCAGCAGAAGAATATCGGACCCAGGGAATGGAGAGTCGTTTCCCTGGGTCTAGGCTCAGCAGCGTCACCGGAATGAAAAAGATGTAAAATCAATGGGATTTTACAAAGAACAGATACAACTTGATAAAATACTTTTGAAAACAGATGAAAACTTGATTAAGAAACTTTATAAATTTCTTTTGAATTGGAAGATGGAAGAAGAACAAGTAAAAGAAACAATGATAGTATGGGCAAACTTTTTTGGATATTCTATAGATTTAGAAGATTGGCAAAAGCTTTGGGACAGAAATATTAAACTTACTAAAGCAGTTTCATACAAAGAAAATTTATATAAAATGTTTTATAGATGGCATATGACACCAGTTAGATTAGCGAAAATGTTTAAAAATGTATCGAATAATTGCTGGAAATGTAAACAAAAACCAGGCACTTACTATCATGTCTGGTGGGTATGCCCCTATGCAAAGAAATTTTGGTTTAAGATTCATATATGGCTGAAAAAGATGACCAAAATACAAATAGAATTTAAACCAGAACTGTTCTTGGTAGGAATATTTGGACTTAATTATGTAAAAGAAAATGAATATTTAATATTACATGTATTGACAGCCATGAGAATAGCATTTGCCCAATTTTGGAAAAATGAAAATTTACCATCTGACCAAATTATAATTACGAAAATATTAGAATGTGCAGAAATGGATAGACTAACGTTAGAGATTAAAGAGAAAGAAGACTCAGTTTATTTTAAAACATGAGAAAAATTTTATCAATGGTTAACAATACGATCTAGTGAGAAAGAAATGTGAAATTTAATAGGCTGAATGATATTTACTGATTAATTATTATTCTCATGATTATTGCTATTTTTAGTGATTATATTTGTTTAATATTAGATTAATTACTGTTATTTAATATCTGTACCCGGATGATGGTCAGCTTGCTAAAGCGTTGAATGATTGTTGGGGGCAACCCCATTACTGTACATATCCAAACCCTATCCCTCAACCCTACCCAATACCCATACCAAAACTATCCCTTTCTTACCCTTATAAAAATCTAATAAAATTTAATAAAAAAAGAATCCAAATCAACCACACAGCCAACCAGAGACAGCACTGACCCTCAACCAACCCATGCAAGCCCCCCCTCCCACCAGCCGTTCACTCCCAATGACCCTGACTGATGTAACCTCCCCATCACAACAGCCATCACAAGACTCACTAATGACTCATACCGGACCCTCACTTGACACACCTACAGCAGAAGCTCTTATAAACAGAAGAACACTGACATCCCCTAAACTCTGCTGAAGATGTTACCTAGCCTAGTAATGAAACATTCAGAAACCAACCCATAAGCTTGGAGAACGAACCTTCACCCTTATCCTACCTGAGATACAGATATTTGCCACTATTGCAAACATCTAAACTATTATATGCAGACAGAAAAACATGTGCCACTGACAAGAGTAGATGCTTTCCTTTCAATGGAGATTAATTATGGCAAAAGAAAGGATTAACTCTTCCTGTTCATATTTGCAGCTCAAGAGTTTCCTGCAATTTAGTTTTTGAAAAATCTGCCCATTAATTATTTTTAGGATCCTATCCTCATCTCTAGTTTGACTTCTGCAGAGTTTCCATAGGAGATTTAGTGTCTGTGTAAATGAATGGCCATCATTCATGTTCAACAAAAGAGATACTACAATTCAATATACTGTAGATTCAAAGTCTAGGGTGGAGAAATGCAGCAGAAGGTGCAATCCTGCTTTAATATTGTAAGGAACCATCTTGCCCCCCCAAAAAATTGTACTCATTTTATTTAAAAAAAGCACTATTCAATATGATTCTGTCCTAGTAAAAATCCTCTGATATGGTCAGTAACAGAACTCTTTCTCTTGTCTTTAGGTATAAAGCCATAGTGAGACCAATGGACATCCAAGCTTCACATGCCCTGCTGAAGATTTGTTTGAAAGCCACTACAATCTGGATTTTCTCCATGCTGCTTGCCATTCCAGAGGCTGTGTTTTCAGACTTGCGTCATTTCTATGACAAGGGCACTAATAAAACATTTATTAGTTGCACACCTTACCCACATACCAATGAACTGCATCCAAAAATTCAATCCATGGCTTCTTTTTTCATCTTTTATGTAATCCCGCTATCTGTTATTTCAGTATATTATTATTTCATCGCAAAAAAACTGATTCGGAGTGCTTACAGTCTACCAGTGGAAGGAACTATTCAGGTTAGAAAGCAGGTATGCCATGTTTGATTTATTACACACATACACACCATCAGAATTACACAACTCCAAACTGAGGATAGCTTAACACGAAAACTATGCTGTATCCAGATACTCAGAATAGTTTCTTCAGTTCTATTGAGTTTCTGAACTATTCCAGACAGCATAGACAACCATCAAACACATTGGGATGACATCATTTTGGTGAAGGCTATGTCCTGTCTTCAGGGCACAAGACTGGAACAAAGAATGGATATATAGTTTTACCATATTATGCTTCTTATCCTTGATTCTCACCCATTTGGGATGCTGTAGGTTAGGTCTTCATTACATGTCCAATGGACATGTATTTCTCATAGTGCTATCCTGGGTTTCTCCCCCCTCCCCCCGATACTAATATGGAAAATGAATGAAAATGCAGATACATTAATCACTGATCCTCTTCCTTCCTGCCAAATTATCTGATTCTCCCTTCATTTCTGAAAACAATTCTATATTTGTCAACTTGCACTTAGTGCGTTCTTCAAAGCTACAACTAATATTGTTGAGAAGAACAGGAAGAAGCTAAAGTACTCTGGGACTTCAGAATTCAAGCAGACAAGCACCTGCCACATAAAACCCCAGACGTAACAATTGTTGACAAGATAGACAAAAATGTCTGAATAGTGGACGTTGCAGTACCTAGCAGAATAGAAGTTGTCTCTTGTTTTGAAGAAATTTCCAGGTAGGGAGTGCAATTTCTATTTATGCTATTAGTCTCAGGCTAGAACGTAAAAAATAACCTCACAAATCACCCAGTTCTGTGCTACCATTTGTATGATATGCTGGGATTGGGGGCATCTTATAATAGTATTTTATTTGTATTTATTTTAGTTACTGTGTTCTTGCTTATTTCTGACTCCATTATTAATGTTTTTCTCTTATGCACACTAATGTAGATGAGAGATAGATAGATAGATAGATAGATAGATAGATAGATAGATAGATAGAGAGAGAGAGAGAGAGAGAGAGAGAGAGAGAGAGAGAGAGAGAGAGAGGCAGAGCAGACAGAGATAGGCATAGACACAGTGGTGGGATTCAGCCGGTTCGTACCACTTCGGCAGAACCAGTAGCTAATTGTTTGTTGCCCAGGCCCAGAATAGACTTCCAGAAGCGGCATCCACACAGAGAACCGGTTGTTCACATATTTGAATCCCACCACTGCATAGACATAGACAAATACAGATACAGATATATAGGTAGAGATGATAGAGATAGAGATAGATATGGAGATGATATTTCTCTTATTTAATATTTTATTTGTGTCTGAAACAGCCACTGATGTCACACTTACTCGTGTGCTTTCCTGGGTTCTGTCTGGATGGCCTGACAGAAGCCCTGGTACTGAGTTCCAAAGCTTCTGGCTCAAGAGGCATGAGTTATCCACCTTTAAGAGTTGCCTGCTTTGGGGCAGCAGGGTGGTTATTCCTACCTCATTGAGATCTAGAATCTTGATTTCCCTCCATGAGGGCCATCCTGGCATTGTCCGGATGAAGGCGCTCGTGTGCAGCCATTATACCACCGGTCCCGATCTGTTCCTATATCTCCGGGTACACGTACCCACAGTGAACACGGTCGCAAGTGCCGGCCTCTACGGAGTCCGGGGACATGTGTCCACCCTCCTTTGTGTAGACGGAACCAGGGCTCATGTACACCTGATACGACCCGGGAAAGTCCCCGTTAAGAAGAACCAGGAACACCTATCAGTAAGATTGTGGCTGGAAGTTGTTCCTGTCTCCTCCACTACTACTGCCAGGACCATCCAGGTGTTGCGCGGCATTTTTGCTGCTCACGGCCTGCCAGATGTTTTAGTTTCAGACAACGGCCCACAGTTCACGTCTGCGGAGTTCCAGGCTTTCCTACAGGCCAACATGATCCGGCATGCGACATTGCCCCCCTTCCACCCTTCCACCAACGGTATGGCTGAGAGGATGGTGTGCGTCACCAAGGACGCCTTCAAGAAACTGACTTACAGGGACTGGCATCACAGGTTGGCAGATTTTCTTCTTGCACACCGCACCACACCTTCTGTCTCCACTGGAAAAAGCCCTGCAGAACTCTGCTGGGGTCGCAGACTGATAACTAAACTTGACAGGTTGCATCCTGACAGGTTGGCACCTCTGGTTTCCCAGCCTAGGGCGCCACGGTGTTTGCAAGTGGGCGCTCCGGTTTGGACCCGGAACTACGGTCCCGGTCATCTGTGGATTCCTGCTGTGGTCTGCAAGGTCACTGGGCCATTGTCTTACGAGGTTTCCTTGAAAGACGGCCGCGTTCTTCGGCGGCATATTGACCAGCTGCGTACAAGACTGGACTCTTCCTCTTCTACTCCTGGGTTTTCTCTGGGGGGGGAGGGGGATCAACAGGAGCAAAGGGAAGGCTTGCCTCAGGGTTCCGCAAGTGTGCCCAACAGAGATTCATGGGAACAAGGAACATCGCACCAACCATTGCATACTCCAGCCAGGGAGTCACTCAGGGGGTATCCACACAGTTCACAAGACCAATACAGCACTCCAGACAGGGAGAATAACAGGGAGCATCCACATAACACAAACAATACAAAAGAACTGGCATGTAGTCAAGGGAACTGGCCAACTGCTGCAATTGCTTCCAGAAGGAAATCAGTCCAAAGGGGAGTAGTCAGAGAGGCAAATCCTGACTCTGGCACTTCAGGTACAGATCAAGGGGCAATTGGGTATTGGGGCACCGCAGAGACCCCAGATAACCCTGTTACAGGGCTTGGGAGTGAGGAACTGTGTTCCCAAGATTGGTCCATTGTGGACTCGGAGAACACCACAGACCCGCCAGATGGGGGGTGGGGTTCTAAGGATTCAGGTAGCCTAGAAGTAGGCAGATCATACAGGAATGCGAGGGAGCAAAGCCCTGGTCTGCATAGCCCGGTGGGCAAGCGAACAGACCAGGTGACAGGAGCCAGGTCATCAGGACCACCAGGGCAACCAAGAGGGGGCAGCCCCGCTACATCAAGTGCACAGGGAAGTCCAGGGTGTTCCCAGGGTCCGAGGAGGTCGCAATGAAGCAAACGACCTCCACAGTATCTGGAGGAGTTTGTAAGGTTGTTGTCAACCTTCTAGTAATGGGGGTGTTGGTAGTTATTCCAAAATGATAGCACGATACCATAAAGGTGTTATCAGGTAATACCTCCACAGTTCATACCTATGGATGAATGAAGTACCACGTTCCCTCTAGAAGGTCGCAGTTATATGTATATGTATGTATGTTGGGGCAGTTTCATCCGGGGGTGAAGGGGTGTTGTGTCCTGAGCCTGCAGTAGCAGGCTCGGGACGTTGTCATGGTAACGGGCTGTTGCAAAGCTGCCCGGGACCAGACATAGCGGCGCCAGCCTGCGCACATGCGCGAGGTGCAAAGCGCGCCATTTCCTTGTATCTTTTTTACCCGGTAAACCTGGCCATTGAAAAGGAGGAGAGAGGCCTGCGAGCCTCTGAGTTGTGACGGAGCAATCAGAAGGAGAATAAAGAACTTGTTGCTGACAGTATGTTTGCCTTTCTTTCACCACTAAGACAAGGACTTAACAGGTGTTGACTTCTTTGTTCTGGTTATTCTATTCCTATCTTTCATTGCAGATGCATAAGGGACAATGAGATATGGAAAAAGAACTTTAGAACAGCAAGGAAGATACTGCTGATTTTCTCATTCCAGCAATTTTTAGTGATGCAACAGCCAATATCCATATAGTAAAAATAGTTACCTAGCAGTTTGAAAATTGAAAATTAATGTTAGGCCCTATTTGCGCTTTAAGTATATTTTGTATAAGAATGAATTATAAATTACATGCCTGAATGATTATTGGAAAATGGGTTGCCGCTATTTTCAAAAGGACAATCATTGCGCCCCGATGACCAGCTGGACCGGTTTTCACTGTTTCTTTGCAAACAAACGCAAAAAGTTTCAGGGTTTTGCTTGCCGCTTAATTTGTGCTGCCCAGCGTCTGCCTGCCTGCCTGCCTGCTTGCAGACCTCCCTGCTCCTTCCCCGAAGCATGCAATTGCTCAGAGCCCATCCCAAAAGGTGCTGCTTCCCTGGCAGGAGCCGAGTTTGCAAGCCTCGTTGGCAAGCCGGGAAAACCAAAGGTCCGGAGGGTTTCCTCCTGCTGCGGAGCTGCAGTGCCTGGCCGTGGGCTGAGGGGGAAGGGGGTGGGGGGTATCCGGGGCCTAAAAAGTCCTCCAGGACAGGCTCAGGCCCGGCCCTCTTTCCCCGGCCGCAGGAGAAGTGGAGGCGCAGGCTCTCCACCCGGGTGGGCAGGTGTCCACAGGCCAGTTCTGCACCCCGACAACCAGCTGGACCGGCTTCATTGCTTCTTTGCAAACAAACACAAAAGGTTTCGGGGTTTTGCTCGCCTGCCCGCCCAGGTGGAGAGCCTGCGCCTCCCCTTCTCCTGCACCTGGGGAAAGAGGGCCGGCCCCGAGCCTGTCCTGGAGGACTTTTTAGGCTCCGGATACCCCCACCCCTCCCCCCTCAGCCCACAGCAAGGCACTGCAGCTCCGCAGAAGGAGGGAACCCTCCGGACCTTCGGTTTTCCCGGCTTGCCAACGAGGCTTGCAAACTCGGCTCCTGCCAGGGAAGCAGCACCTTTTGGGACGGGCTCTGAGCAATTGCATGCTTCGGGGAAGGAGCACGGAGGCCTGCAAGCAGGCAGGCAGGCAGGCAGGCAGACGCTGGGCAGCACGAACTAAGTGGCGAGCAAAACCCCGAAACCTTTTGCGTTTGTTTGCAAAGAAGCAGTGAAAGCTGGTCCAGCTGGTCATCGGGGTGCGGAACTGGGCTGCTGACACCAGGCCTTGCTCACTGGCAACGCTGGAGCCTCCCACACCAACCAGTAGGTCTTCCGTGCTGCTCCGCTGGGACCGCCAGCTTCTGGCTGCATGGCTGCCTCCCCCCGGAACTGTCTTTCCCTCCCCCGGGCCATGCGCCACCGGCATCTTCTCTTTGCAAAGGAACACA